GAGATTATGAAATTATAATAGATGTATATATTATCATATAATTCAAAATAATCAATATATTATATCAATTTAGTATGAAAATTATTATATAAAATTTAATAACGTTATTGTTATATTTAAAAAAGAAAAGATATATTGGAAATACTTCAATTATATAGATGTTTCTGCGCAAGGCGCGGACATTCGCCTAGTATACTTATAAAGCTAGTATTTTCCTTTCACCATATTCATTTGAAACTCCCATACATTTTTCCTTTCATCACATTCATTTGAAACTCCCATGACTTTTCAATTTATTTATAATGATAACTATAACATGGTTAATTAAGTTAAATAAATATGAAATCTAAAGTATAATCATACATAAACTAAATTTTAATATTATAAAGTTATGTTTTTTAACTTTTAACATATAATACTGAATTTATTAGTTTTAATATATTGTTGGATGTAAACCATTATCATTTTAAAGATACAATTTTGGAACAATTTGTATAAAATACTAAAATTATTAATTTAAATATATAACACTACAGTGTAAACTTAAATACAAATTTTAGGTTAACTTAAACAACCCAAATAATATTTTGTAAATAGTTAAAAGTGATAAGTTGCAGTGTCTTTCTAATAATTATTATAAGTTGGTTAATAAAGTTAAATAAGTATCAAACCTAAAGTTTCATAAAAAATAAACTAAATTTCAATTCTAAATAATATATTTCTTTCTACGTACAAATTTATGTCTTTAAAATTTAACATATTATACTTAATTTATTAGATTTAATACGTTGTTATATGTAAACCATTATCAGTTTAAAGCTACAACTTTTGAACAACTTTGACAAAATACTTAAATTGTTAACTTAAATATAACATTATAATATCTACTTAAATATAAATTTTATTTCCACTTAAAAAACCAAAAAATATTTTATAAATAGTTAAAAGAAATAAATTGTAGTGATAAATACAAAAACTAAATTGTAATCTTAATTTAACTAAAACATTTCCTAAAGATATTTTTATAATCATTAAAAGTTTTCAAATAAGTAGCTTAAAATAATTTACAATAACAATAGTTAAAAATAACTCTATATAAATGACTATATTGTTACCTTTAAAATCAAAAAATAATATTTGGTTTTTCTAAATAATTATAATGATAGAAATTAAAACATTAAGCAAATAAATTTTAAAAAATTAATTAACAATAACAACAACTATAAATAACATTAAATCATATATTATATTTAATTTTATTCATTTGTAACTCGCGGGTAGAAGTCATTCAAACGATTGATATTATGAACTTATAATAGATGTATATATATTATCATATAATTCAACATAATCAATATATTATATCAATTTAGTATACAAATTATTATATCAAATTTAACAACGTTATTGTTATATATATATATATATATATATATATATATATATATATATATATATATATATATATATATATATGTAAAGACTTCAACTATATAGGTGTTTTTGCGCTTTACAATATCAACTTAAATATAAATTTTAGTTCCACTTAAAAAACCAAAGAATATTTTGTAAATAGTTAAAAGTGATAAACAGTAGTGATAAATGCAAAAACTAAATTATAATATCAATTTAACTAATATATTTCCTAAAGATTTTTTTATAATCGTTAAAAGTTTCTAAATAAGTAGCTTAAAATAAATTTCAATAACAATAGTTAAAAATAATTCTATATAAATGATTATATTGTTACATTTAAAATTAAAAAAATAATGTTTGATGTTTTAAATAATTATAATGATTGTAACTAAAACATTAAGCAAATAAATTAAAAAAATAAATAAATTAACAATAATAACAACTATAAATAATATTAAACTATATATTATATTTAATTTTATTCATGTGTAACTCGCACGTAGAAGTCATTCAAAAGATTGAGATTATTAAGTTACAATAGATCTATATATTATTATATAACTCAAAATAATCAATATATTATATCAATTTAGTATACAAAATATGATATCAATTTAACAACAACGTTATTGTTTTATTTAAAAAAACATATATTTATAAAGACTTCAACTATATAGGTGTTTCTGCGCAACGCGCGGACATTCGCCTAGTATCTTATAAAGCTAACATTTTTCTTTTCACCACATTTATTTGAAACTTCCATACATTTTTCCTTTCCCCATATTCATTTCAAACTCTAATGATTTTTCAATTTCTTCCTAATAATTGTTATAAGTTGCTTAATAAAATTAAATAAATATCAATCATAAAGTGTAATCATATACAAATTAAATTTCAATATTAAAAAGTATCTTTACTTCTACTTATAAATCATGTTTTTTAACTTTTAACATATTATACTTAATTTATTAGTTTTAATATATTGTTGGGTGTAAATCATTATCATTTTAAAGCTATAACTTTTGAACGATTTGTATAAAATACTTAAATTATAAATTTAAATATAACATTACATGATCAACTTAAATATAAATTTTAGTTTAACTTAAAGAACCCAAATAATATTTTGTAAATAGTTAAAAGTGATAAATTGTAGTATCTTTTGTATTAGTGATTATAAGTTGGTTAGTAAGGTTAAATAAATATCAAACCTAAAGTGTAATCATAAATAAACTAAATTTCAATATTAAAATAACATTTTTACTTCTACTTATAAAGTTATGTCTTTAATTTTTAACAGATTATACTTAATTTATTAGATTAAGATGTTGTATGTAAACCATTATCAATTTAAATAATTATACTGATAGAAATTAGAACATTAAGCAAATAAATTTTAAAAACTTAATTAACAATAATAACAACAATAAATAACAATAAACCATATATTGTATTTTATTTTATTCATGTGTAATTCGCGGGTCAAAGTCATTCAAACGATTGACATTATATAGTTATAATAAATGCATATATTATCATATAATTCAAAATAATCAATATATTATATCAATTTAGTATATGAGTTATTATATCAAATTTAGCAACAACGTTATTGTTATATTTAACAATACATCTATTTACAAATACTTCAACTATATACGTTTTTATGCGCAACACGCGGGCATTCGTCTAGTATTATGTATATAAGTAACGGACATGACTAATTTTCCTTAATGATAACATCTACAAATGTATTTTACAAAAATACCAACACAATAACTATTGAATCGTCCCAAAATTCGAAGGCCCTTTGAAGTCAGAGGCCCGTGCGATCGCACCGTCTGCATACCCCAAAGGCCGCCACTGGTTACAACTTAGTGTTAGAAAGTTGTTTTCCTTAGAGTCCATCTTCATCCAATAAACTTCTTGACCTCGGTATGATGCAAAGCGTGCACCTTTACGCTTATTGCATGCTAGATCTAGGTTTTAGATTGTTTTTTTGGCGTATTCTTGGTCCCTTTTATGGTGTTTTTGGAGTTTGGAGAACTCGATAACCTTATGATCAAATTAATCAACTTTTGGACTTGATTGGTATTGGAAAAAAAAACGTTTGTGCATGCTTTTCCTTAGGCTATACATTGATTTTTGACATTATAAGTGGACTTTTAGACTTAGGGCCTGAGATTTAAAAGTTATTAATCCCTTACTTTATCCATTAAGTCGTTGAAGAGTACTGGAATTGAGAATTGGAACCTCTATAATTAAGGATTAAGAGCTTAATGTGTTAAGTTGTCTGGATGAAATCACGACACGACTTGTTGGAGGCCATGATGCAATTTTTGGAAAATTTCCCGGCTATATTGTTGTTTAGTGGATCACAACGCGGCTGGTTAAGGGTCACGACATGTAGGCCGCTAACTTTGAACTTGATCGTTGACTTTTTGACTTTTAACCAATTTGACTTTCGGGTCAAACTTGAAGGTTTTGAGCTATAGATTGAGGTTTAGTTTGTGATTGGTTTAGGCAGTTCATGTAGCTGATTCTTTGGGGCTTCGGGTAGTCAGATTCAGCTCTGGGATTGACGTGAGTTTTCTCAATGTATTACTTATGACATAGTTACTAAGATTTGATAGTATGCTAGACTAGTAGGGTCTTGATTGTTACTTGTATGTTTACGAGCTTCGTTCGGTTGAAATAGATATGTTGGGGTGAAACATACATGTTCGGTAGAAATAGACATGTTGGGTTGAAACATACTCGTTCGGTTGAAACAACAATGTTGGGTTGAAACATACCCGTTCGGTTGAAACAAACCTATTGGATTAAATGTTTTCAAGTACTTCATCAAACTATGAAATTATGTGTGTGGCGACCAAAATAGACAACAAAGTAAAGAAATTCAAAATAATAAAAAAAGAAATGGATTTGTTGCTCTAATATATCGTATATGGATTGGATTTTCTATAATACATTGTATCCATTTCTTTTTTTATGTACCCACTTAATTTTATGTACCCACTTAAGGGTGATCATCGGTTCAAATCCATTGGATTTTGATGGAATTGATCAAATCCAGTCATTCATTGGATGTTAGATTTTGTCAATCGATCAAATTGTTCATTATAAAAAACCAAACCGATCAAACTGGGTGTCAGATTGGATCGGTTTTATCCATTGAATATTTTTGATTGGTTTAATCCATTGATTATACATTATCCAACCAATTTTAGTCCTTTTCTAGTTTCTATTGAATACAAAAATATAAAGGGGTGTTTGGATTAGATTTTTAGCTTATTGCTTATAGCTTATTTGTGGTGGGAATAAGCAATAAGCAATAAGCATGAGAAAAGATGCTTATTAAAATTAGTTTATTTAGCCTAATAAGCTGGATTTTATCCAAACACTTAAATTAGCTTATTGTGAGAATAAACAATAAACGCTTTTTTTTTTTCCTTATCCAAACACCCCCTAAGTATGATAACTAAAAATAAAACATCATGTAATTACGGTAAATAAGAAACTTAAGGTTGGCAATGACTGTCTTTAATAAACCCGGTCGGAAAATAAATTGTCCGTCCGAATGTATTCCGGTTCGATACCTCTGGGTTTTATAAACATAAACCATTTATAAACCCTACACTGAAACTCCTTCCTGAGACACTCCAACGATGAAAAAGCAACGGCAACATTCAACCGAAGAATCAATGGAAGAATCCACCGACGCTACTACCTCATTCACCGGTGAATCTGATATATGCCAACAGCTCCTAGACCGTTACGGCAAATCCGCCGCATCTCAACACCGCCACCTCTGCGCAACTGCTGCTGCTACCCGCTCTATCATACAATCCGAATCTCTGCCCCTCACTCCCATCTCTTACTTCGCTGCCACCATTGATGCCCTCTCCGATACCTCTAAAACAACCCATGACGCTGATGCAGTCTCCGCGCTGTCGTCGTTTTTGGCAATTGTGCTGCCTCTGGTTCCCGAGAAGTCTATAGCGACGTCCAAGGCGGCAGAGGCTGCGAAGATTGTGGTTGAGCTGGTGGATAATCCTTGTGAGGGTTTGTCAGTTTCGAGTGTGAGGGCCTTGGTCAAGTGTTTGGGGGTGTTGCTAGATTTTTGTGATTTGGACGATTGGAAGTCTGTTCAACTAGGTTTCAAGACACTTATGAAGTATTCCATAGATAAACGTCCAAAGGTATGTTAAATCTATAGTCTCTTTTTGCTACACTGTAAATTTTTGCAAATGCTTACAATAATCCATGGTTATAGTCTTATCTTTTTCCATAAAACATACTAAGAACATGAAGGAGGTTGGAATTTCAAGCACCCGAGTCTGTATATCAATATTTCCATGAAAATGGCTCTTGCTTTTTATAAGTATAATATCATAAGGTTAGGACTTAATGTCACATTTGTAGGTTGCATTTTAATGATACTTGCTTCTCTTCAATGAACAAATGCCATTCTAGGCAGATATAATTTTATTGTTTAAGTTACCCACTAATATACATCTTAAAAACATTCTTAATCTTCCGTGATTTACATACATGTTGCAGGTCAGAAAATGTGCTCAAGATTGTGTAGTGAAGGTCTTCAAGTCTTTCCAGTCTTCTCTTGTCAAGAAAAGTGCAAGCAAACTGTTTTTAAAATCCTTCAAAACTTATATGTCGTTGGCAGTTGAAGCAGTTTCTTCAAGATCAACAGACGGGTCTAAAGATGATAAATTTTCAAAATGTGAACAGTTAGAGGCTCTTCACATGTTAAATCTGTTGAAATTTCTGGTACCTTGTTTACCAAGCAAAGAAATATCAAAAACTGTTGTGGAATTAGAAAAATCTATAAGTGCAAAGTTTTCACCATTAACGAGGCATGTTTTTGATGTTATGGAGGAGATACTTCGATTATTGGAAGATGAATCTACAATTCCTGACACCTTAGAAATAGTAACAACACTTGCTTCATATATATCTACAAAACAGAACCCAGTAGACACTCTTTTTTCAGCAGCAGCTCTACTTGAGAATTTTCTTACCAAATTTCAAGTTGGAGATGCAAACAAATGGAATAGCCATTACTCCTTAGTCATTGGTTCTATAGCAGGTATACATATATGATATATATTTGCCTGATATGATTAGTTATATGATTGCATTAGTTGACTAAATTTGTACATGTGTTTTTAGGTCTTCTGACATCTGAGGCTACAGCTACAAAAGCTTCAAATATTCTAAAAGAAATGATAAACCGTCATATTGATGTAGATATCCTCACAGATGAAAATAATGTTGAATCCAAGGAATCAAGAATAGTTAAATCCTTATGTGATGCACTTCTAAAAATTCTGAGTACCCATAAAGGAACTCCAAATGAGCATACTTTGGCTGTCATTTCTGTTTTATTTCTCAAACTTGGTATGTCCAAATTCCAATTACTTTTTGTATTGATCATTGTCACTGTCATAAGCACCTGATACTGATCTTTGTTTATTATTTATGTTATTTAGGGAAGATTTCTCATATTTACATGGAGAAAATACTTCTAAAGCTTGCCAGTTTTATGACACTTGCATCCGGAAATACTTCTGATGTAAAGCATGTAAGTTTTCTTTCATTGCCATGTATTACTTGTATCCATTATGTCATTATATTAACATAATGTTCTGTTTTCATATTTGATATTACAGCTTCAGCATTGCATCGGGTCTGCTGTAGTGGCTATAGGACCAGATAAAGTACTTGCAGTGTTACCTATCTCCCTTGATGCCAGTGATCTCACATGTTCAAATACTTGGTTGATACCAATTTTGAAGGAGTATGTTAATGGATCATCTTTGGGGTTCTTTATTGAAAGTATAGTGCCTATAGCTGAATCTTTCCAAGAAGCATGCCAAAAAGGTAACCCCCTTATTTATAGAATAGTTTTGGATTTTGAAAAGTATCATGACATAATTTTTTTTTCTTGCAAGTTAAAAAGTCAGCAATTAGAGAACAATTGCAGTCCAACGCACGTGGCTGTTGGGGTCTATTGCCTTCCTTCTGCTGCTATCCAAATGACATGTATAAAAAATTTGGATCCTTGGCTAAACTTCTGATTCCACACATCAAAAAGGATGCGATTATGCTTGAGTATATTGCCATTGCATTGCAGGTAATAAATATCTCTAATTTATATTATTGTAAGATTTGTGTTTCTTGATGGTTGACTTTTTTTTTTTTTTTTTTTTATAGCATCTTGTGAAGCAGAATAGGAGCTTTCTTGGTGATGATCAGGGTGATGATGAAGCTTCTAAGCTTCCAAAGATTAGTTACTCTAAAAAAACTGCAACCAAAAACATCAAAGCTTTGTCATTATGGTCAGAGGGGTTATTGAAGGCTTTTACAAAAGTTCTTTTTAGAGTGCCATTCGAGAAGCGTGCTTTTGTAAAGGTTATGATTGTAATTTTACCACTTCACTAATTTGTATTCTTTGGTTTCTGACTTCATTATTATGTATTTCCAGGACACCATTAAATGCTTGGCATCTATAACTGAATCTTCAACAACAAAAGCAGTTTTTGTTTCATCACTTAAAAGAATAGAGGTGGATGTTTCTGGAGATGATGCAAAAGATGATAAATCCTCTTCAAAGAAAAATGGAAATAGGTGTCTGATACTTGAGCTAGCATCATCTGTTGTTGGGACAGCTAGCATGGATCTCATTGATCTCATATATAGCTTTATCAAGGAGAGTTTGAAGGTGTGCTTTTAGTCTGTTTTTTTTATGTTTTTTTATTTAAATTTATACAAGCAAGCAAATACGATAACTCTTTTTTTTCCTTTTTTTGTGTAGGAAGAGGATGACCACATCCAGAGGGAAGCATATGCCACCCTTTACAAAATTTTGGAGGTAAGAACCAGTACTTAATTACATTTTAAATAAAGTTAAGGAAATCTGTCTCATTCTTGTTTTATTTTTTGTTCAAATTGTTCAGGAATCTTCAGAGTTCCGTTCTTCAAAGTTTGAGGAACTTATGGATTTGTTACTTGGTTTGAAGTCCCCTGTTGATATTACTTCACTTAGATGGCGATTTTCATGCTTCAAGAACTTGTTAATTCATTCAATCGAGGTTATATTCTAAATTTTTTGTTGTTGCTTTAGTTTTATTTTTATATCAAGTTTATAAACCATGTGAAATTCGCTCTAACAGTTTTCTTTGCTAAATGATTTCTATAGATAGCTTCTGATGGAGAGAACACTTATGGTTTTCGTATGCTGAATGAAATTATAGTCACACTAAAAGATGTAAGATCTACTTTTAAAACAACTTCATTTTTTTTTTCATTTTTCTTATAATTTGATAATATGATCTCCTGGTTTTGATCTCTCCAGTCCAAGGAAGAAAGTAGAAAAGTGGCATATGACATCCTTATAGGAATGAGCTGTACCTTGCAAAAAACACCATCTTCACTCCAAAAAGAAAATGGACCTTATTACGAATTTGTCACCATGGTAATTCTTGATTTGTTAAACTTTCTGAAAACATTATGATGTTTATATTTATTTTAAACTTTGTAGATAATGGGGTATCTCTCGGGGTCTTCTCCTCACATAAAAAGTGGTGCAGTCTCTGCCTTATCTTTAGTGATATATAACGACTCCAAAATTTGCAAGCTGATGCCTGATCTTGTGCCATCCATTCTAGAATTGCTGCATAGTAAAGCCATTGAAGTTATAAAAGTGAGTTATTATATATATATATATATATATATATATATATATATATATATATATATATATATATATTAATGTTGATGCTAAATATTAGTTGTGTTTGTGAAATATGGTCAGGCTGTTTTAGGTTTCCTCAAGGTGTTGGTTTTGAGTCTTGAAGGGAAAGACTTGGCGAGTCTTTTGTCTGATATCCTGAGTGGTCTTCTGCCATGGTCATCTGTTTCTCGCCATCATTTCAAATCTAAAGTATGTTTTTATTTAAAATCAAATCATATGTTAAATCCGAAAATGCAGCATAAAATATAGCTTCATTTACACTTTGTTACAGGTGACAGTGATCCTAGAGATTATGATGAGAAAATGTGGTTCTGCATCGGTCAAATCTCTTGTACCTGAGAAATACAGAGATTTCGTTAAGGATGTTCTGGAGGTAAAATAAATCAATAAATAAGTAATAGTGATAAATAAAAAAAAAAAAAATGTATAAAGTGTTGTTAAATTACAGAATCGTGAAGGAAAGAAAAACTCACAGGTAGGTGCGACAACCAAAACGGATCATGAATCATCTGATACAACTCCGAACAGGTCTAACTTTATAAACTGTACTTTTCTATACTTAGTTTATAGAAAGTTGACTTAATAGAGAAAGTGAGGGAAATGAAGGAATTTGGCTCATTTATTTGTTTCAGTGGGGAAAAGAGGAAGCCTAATGAAGAATATTCAAGAGAAAGTGGAAAGAGGAAGAGGGAGGATAAACACAGCAGCTCATCATATGGGGCTCGTAAGTTTTCACGTGGAGGAAAAGATGTTGATAGTAGTAAGAAACATTTTGGTCAAGCAAAATCTATGGATCGAAAGTCACAAGGCACCAAAAGGAAAACCACAACTTCATTTAAAAATGGTACTTCATCTTCATCAGGTGCAAAGAAACAGAAACAGTGGGCAAGAAAAGGAAACAAGAAAAATGCACCTGTCACCTGAACAACAAGAAGAAAACAGTTGGAAAGTTTAAAAGCCTGAAATTTATATATATATATATATATATATATATATATATATATATATATATATATATATATATATTTTGGGTTGATTATGGGGGGCCCATTTGGAGTGAAGGCATGATGGGTCATCTTTCCGGATGTAGATGTATCATGTATGTGAGATTCTTTTATGATACTAACCAATTTATACAAGACTAAGAAGAGTAGGTCGTACATGTACCACAGTTTTGAAACAAAACAGAATTCCATTCCATATATGTATCATGAACCATTTGTCAAAATTTCAAATTAACCATTTAGCATTTGAAAACAAAACTGGAGGAAACATCTGCCTATTTTTGTAGGTATATTTCTATCTCTTCCATCTCTAAGTTTTTTGTATGCACATGAAATGATAACACACAATGTTTTTTTAGTAATACATATATGCCTTATAATATACTTGTAAGTGCATGTATAAATACTCACCCTTCCCCAAGGATACACATCTTAACATGCAAGCGTCCCAACATTTTTTGAGACGTAATACGATGAGGATTACGAGGTTGAAATTAAAGAATCTATCCACCCGGAATAAAGCAAAAAATTAAGAAAGTTTAAACTTTTTAATCTGAATTTAATGTGTATATGAAGTTCGAAGAGAAAATACACATGAAGAAAAAAACAACGGGCCAAAGAACAATTAAAATTGTTTATGCAAAACATCAATTATTTATCCGGAAATTGGCTTTACCAATAAACACTGAAATTATAAATACATATATAATTTATACATTTTAAAAAATTTAAATATTGTTATGTTTTACTTGTTTCAATTATTTTCAAGTTTTGAAAATTAATGAAATATCTCAGTTTTAATTTATTTACTTTTTTTTATTAAATTAAATTTATTTAGTATTTAAAAAAAGTTTAAGAAAAGAATGGAAGGTAAAATAACAGCAATAGCCAAAGATAAAACTTGGGTAAAACCATAAAAATCAAATAATAATAATAATAAGAGAAATTCCTATAATTTTTTTAGGATCTTTCTATCCATATCAAATAATATATATGTCATATTTATTTTTCTTTAATTCATTTAAGATGGATAGTAAGATAACTAAAAGAAAATTATAGGAGTGATTAATTTCTCTAATAATAATAATAATAATAATAATAATAATAATATAATTTAAATAAAGAAATATATATTCAAGAAAATAATGTCTCGATATCTTCCTTCATTCCTCTCCCTCCTGCTCCATAGCCATGGAGGCATCCTTACAGCTACACTCTCACTTGTTCACCCCCACTCACCCCCACACCAATTCAGTCTCCTCACCATTCCCCAGCAAACCCAAACGAAAACCTCTTCCACTTATACTCCGATGCTGCTCCGACGAGACGAACACCAAGAAGCTAGTGGGGTTCGTCGACTACGACAGAGGAGAACGACAAGTATCCGTGCACGTCAGCGGTGTAAGGAAGTCGGATTTGCCCAAACGCTACCAGCTGCGGGTTCAAGGTGACCGGTTTCAAAAGGATTGGCCCATTTCTGAGCTGGTTTCCAAGATTTTAAAGCTCAATCAACGCGAAGACATTGATGGCTTGCTTAATCGATGGGCTGGTAGATTTTCACGGAAAAATTACCCCATTCTCATCAGGGTAAGTTAATTCATAGTAATATGTATATATGTTTCGAAGGAATACTTACAAATTTGAATTTCTAGGTTTGAATAGCCTAATTTAATCTTCAGAATTGATATGAATGATCCGTGTTTGTATTATGTAAAGCTGAATTTCATCTTTCTATTGTTGATTTGGTAGTATAGGAAATCACCCAGACAGGTTCAATCGATCATTGTAATCAAGTATTCAATTGGATGAAGAACCAGAAGAATTACTGTGCACGCAATGATATATACAATATGATGATCAGGTTACATGCAAGACATAATCGAACAGATCAAGCACGTGGCTTGTTTTTTGAGATGCAAAAGTGGAGGTAAGGATTCATCAGATTATGGTGTTCTTAATTCCTGAACATCATCATTCCATATTGATGCCACCAAAAACACTTTCAAATCTTGTCTTCTCATTTTAGGTGCAAACCAGATGCTGAAACTTACAATGCTCTCATAAGTGCACATGGTCGAGCTGGTCAATGGCGTTGGGCAACCAATATCATGGAAGACATGCTTCGTGCAGCTGTCTGTATCTCTATTCTTCCTTATAACCTATCTTTTATTCTCAGATTATAGCAACCTACTTTCATTGATTTGTTTTTTTGAACGAAATTACATTGCTATTTCTTGCATTTAGCCCAATTAAGAATTGTACTTAATCAGGTTATTTATGCAAATTATGGTATTTCAGGTTCCTCCAACTAGGTCAACATATAACAATCTAATCCATGCATGCGGATCCAGTGGAAATTGGAAAGAAGCTCTAAAAGTTTCCAAAAGAATGACAGAAAACGGGGTGGGGCCCGATCTCGTGACTCACAATACCATTTTATCCGCCTTCAAAACCGGGTCCCAGTACTCAAAAGCACTCTCCTATTTCGAATTAATGAAAGGAACAAAAATCCGCCCAGATACCACCACTTTAAATATCATAATCCATTGCCACATAAAACTCAAACAGTTTGAAAAAGCAATCAATATCTTTCATTCAATGAGGGACAAAAGATCTCAATGTGGGCCCGATATCGTGACCTTTACAAGCATCATTCATTTGTATTCCGTTTCTGGGGAAATCGAAAACTGCAAAGCAGTTTTCGATACAATGATTTCCGAAGGTTTTAAACCGAATATTATATCTTACAACACACTTTTAGGTGCATATGCTGTAAGGGGGATGAGTGAAGGGGCATTATCGGTATTTAACGATATAAAACGGAACGGATTTCGTCCGGATGTTGTATCGTATACTTCCCTACTCAATGCTTACGGGAGATCAGGGAAACCAGAAAGGGCAATGGAGGTATTTAACATGATGAAAAGGAATAACTTGAAGCCAAATGTGGTGACTTATAATGCATTGATTGATGCCTTTGGATCAAATGGTTTCCTTCCGGAAGCTGTGGAATTGCTGCATGAAATGGAGAGAAACGGAGTGCAACCGAATGTTGTTTCGGTTAGTACCTTGTTGGCTTGCTGTGGGCGATATGGTCGGAATGTAAAGATTGATTCCATTCTTGCTGCTGCTGATTCCAGAGGGATTTGTTTGAATACAGTTGCGTATAATTCTGCTATTGGTAGTTATATGAATGGAGGGGAATATGATGAAGCACTGGATTTGTATAGGTTGATGAGGGAAAAGAATGTGAAACCTGATTCGGTTACATATAATGTGTTGATTAATGGTTGTTCTAAGATGTCTAAGTACACTGAAGCTCTTGAGTTTCTTGATGAAATGATGGATTTGAATGTAACAATGTCTAATGAGGTTCTTTCATCTGCCATTTCTGTCTATAGCAAACAGGTAAACATGACATGACATGTCAATGAGACAAAATTGTAATTTTTTTTTTCTTGTCCGTGAAAAAGACGCAAATGCCCTCATCATCATGTAAAATATCCATACAAAGGTTGTTGAGTCTTCTCTCTATTATCAGGGTCAACTTTTGAAAGCAGAGTCTCTCTTCTCAAAAATGAAGATGACACATGATGGTCCTGATGTTGTTGCATATACAACAATGCTACATGCTTACAGTGATGCAGGTAATGAATGCTCTTACAAAACTGATAATCACTTTCAAAGTTGAAATTCGTTTGAGTGTTGAGAAAAAAAAAGGTGTTAAAGATATGAATTTTGTTGCAGAAAAATGGGATGATGCATTTGCATTGTTTCAAGAAATGGAAATGAAGGGTGTGGAGCCAGATCTTATTGCTTGTTCAGCATTGATGAGAGCTTTTAATAAAGGGAATCAACCTGCTAAAGTTCTTGTTGTAGCTGAATTTATGCAGGAGAGAAAGATACCAATGAATGATGCCATTTACTTTGAGATGCTCTCTGCATGTAGCATGTAAGTTCCATTATATATATTATATTTTGTTAAAAAGATTAGTTTGTTGCATAATAAGTAGTAATGTAGCGGTTTTGTATTTGATTTTAGCCTAAGAGATTGGAAGAAGACAATTGAATTAGTTGGAATGATGGAGGCATCATTCAATGTAATGTCGATTGGACTCATGAATCAGCTTTTACATTGTATTGGTAAATTAGGGAAGATTGAGACCATGATGAAGGTGAGAACTTTTATAATTCAAGAAACTAAAGAACAAAAAAAACATGTTGTAATGTATTTGACATGCATTGGACTGAGTCTGTTATGGTTTATGCAGATATTTTATAAAATAGTGGCAACGGGTGCTGAAATTAATAAATCTACTTATTTGGTGTTACTAAAAAATCTTTTGGCTGCTGGAAATTGGAGAAAGTACCTTGAGGTGACCATTTACTTAAAGCTATTTATTTATTAATCATAAAATAACGCATCATTTATTTGTTATTTTTGTTTAAATGTTGATGATTTTTTCAATAGGTATTGCAGTGGATGGCGGATTCTGGAGTTGAGGCTTCGGGTGACATGTATCAAAGTATACTTGCATTTGCACAGAGTTGTGGGCCTGAATATTCTGTTATCATACAAAATAGAGTTGGTATGCTTTCGGCCTTTTGCTATGCTTTAACTTTTATTTATTAAAATTATTATTTCTCAGTTAGAAATTAATCTGCTTCATTTTTTTAATGATTGTTACAGAGAGCTTGAGAAGAAAAACATTTGTTTAGTTTTTGCGACATTATGAGGCCTTGAATTAATAGGATCTTGTAAATTTATATAATGTAAACTTGTAAATTTGTATAATTTGATTGTTAGGATAAGAGTCCTTACTCCTTTAGGGTTGATTGTTTTGGTAAAGCAACAACGTTGTACCATTTTTTTTTAACTTTGTAATTGTAATTTAAAAGCGAGAATCTTGGGTTTTTGAATTTTAAAGAGGATTGGTTTAAGAAAATTTGGATTTTTATGAAGAACAAACAAAATGTAGTAGTGAAAGTGAATATGCTTAAGAAACATATAAGAGAAAATTCAGAGAAGATAATTG